TTCTGCAATATATTTTGTAGAGGCATGCTTTTATTTAACTGTGTTTGAAACAAACATGTAGTTTGCAAACTTTTTTTTTTAATCATTGTGAATATCCAGGTTCTTTTCCATGTCATCATAACTGAATTTACAAATCTTTGCTATGGATAGCACAACACTTCATTTTAAAAGCTAGTGGCTAGAGCAGGGGAGAAGTATGTCAGTTGATCATCTCTTGTCTTTTCATAAGATTATAGTCCCTATGAGGTAACCATTGCTTTAGATTTTATTCAGTTTTCCACCAATGCCTACAGATTAATTAAATTATACTTAAATCTTTGATATAATAGCCCATCCAAATGATGCAAGGATTAGTGCCTTTATCTAAGTTTGAAAATAATGTGTGTACATTTTAATAAACATATCATCAACTTAAGATTTCCAACTGAGTGATTTATGTTTCTCTTACATGAGAACCTCTGGGACAATTAAAACCTGCACATATTCAATCAATCAAAACTTCTCATCTCCTTTTTTCCCATGTTAAAGCAGAGAACAGCTTTCACTTTGGATAAGAAGGTTTCTTTGTGGTATTTGACAGTGTTGCCTCTCTTTTTTTCAAATTATATATTAATGTGTGTCACCACAGTAACAGGTTCAAGCACATTTTAGGACAACATAAAGTACAAGCTATGTACAAAATATATCACAATGAATATACTATTGCCAATTGCCTGATAGAAACACATCAAAACCAACTCTTCAAAGACAAGACCACATAATAAATACATTGCAAATATGTATGAAAATTCACCCCACACAGATATTAATTCAGTGTTATAGCATACATGACCTTTTAAAAATCAACACCATGACCATCAACATAAAAACCTCCTCCAGGTCTAGTAAAGTAAATAAATGCCTGCACTGTAGTACGTGGTTCTTTCCAACTATGATTTCTTCAGCATCACTTCCAAGTTCACCTATAGAACTTTCCCCAGTTTCTGATGCCCACTGATTATTTGACTTAACATAAAATAAAGAGGAGGAAGGAATTCTGCCTACCTTGGGGCGATCTTGTGGTCCAATTGCCTGTACTGTAGGTATACAGTGATGAAGAATCAGAAACTCTTCAGTGATAATCAGGGATGAGAGGCTGCTTCTGTGAATAATGTACATCCTCTAGCAGCAGGCTCTGTTTCCCCGCAGCTGGCAGCAGCTTTTGCGGCAGCAGATGAGCACAGCTTGATACTATCCACAATTAACCAAATATTGTACAGCAGCAACAAATCAACAACTAAAAAGCAGGAAAAAAAAGAAATCAAGACTCAGCTTATATATAAGAGCAAAGTATAATTTCCAAGAGAAGCTGAAAGCTTCAAGTCACAAACACTACATTTTGTCTTGAAGATTATTCCAGCAAAGCTCCTTCTGCTATTTTTTTTTTTACAGTACCATAATGCACTAGGTCTGGCTTTTACCCTATTGAAAGAACATGAATATATTATTATCCACACAAAAGAGCAGGTTATTGTTTATGAATTACCAGCCTTCCCAGCAACAAAGGCTATTTTCATAAGAAAACTCAATTTCATTTTAGCTCCAATTTGATTACCAGCTGAAGAAAAGAAACCCTATGCCTAAACCTCAAAGGATTTTTATTCATGCCACTGAATGGGCTTTATTGCTTCCCTTTCAAGACTGACGTAGAAAGCTTTTAGAGTAAAACATTGACAAAAAATTATTGCGCTGCTATTTTGTGCAATAACAGAGCTGAAGAGGGGCAATGATTTCTCAGTCATCCTTCACTGTACTTCAGAATAGCAAAGGCTGGAATTAATGACAGACTATAGAGAGGAGCCAAGCTAAGGTCTCACAATGCATGTCAAATCTAAATGATCGCTATACATTGAAAAGACCCCCCAAAAGAGCCTGCAGCTGATTGATTCATGGCTTTCACTAGAAAGACAGGCTTGAAGAGTTTATTGCACCACAATTTACTAGGAATTATCATAAAAATGAAGGTAGAGGCTGAATGTTACCCTGGCACACTCCAAAATCATGCATCCAATGACAAAGTTCAACCAGGAATTATAACAAGACTGTTCATGCTACTGTACTTAAAGGTCTGATAGGTTTCTACACTGCAACGAGCAAGGGGTGGGAGGGGAGACTTGATCTTTTAAAAAGCTGAGCAGTAAAATTGGGATTTTAAAAGTTGGCATACAAGGTTTATCCTTTTAACTAATTTAACCTGTTTTTAAACTTAAGGGTTTTAACAACAAACCTAGTACAGCAGTTAGCAGCTTCTTCTGACTGTCATTCGGCCTTAAGAAATTTTGTATAGGATAGTTGGTTTACATCTTTTAAATAAAAACAAATTGTCACAATGCGAGTTGATTGTTTTGGTTTAGATTTGTTTTTCATTTAGTTAATATTTATCCAAAATGCAAAATGCTTGTGTGGCAAATTAATTTCCCCCCCCCCCCAGCTTTTAAAGTAATTGTTCCCTTTAGAAATTGATGGCTTCTATTTTCACTGTACATAATATTTTAAAAAATCTAATAAGAAATTAGTGAATCATGTTGGTAAATTACGGCTTTCATGTAAAATACAAAATAAGAATTACACATTTTTCTTCAATGTGAAAATCTACTTTGGTTGGACTTCCACATGTCAAAAACTAGCATCTGGGTGCCTAAATGAATTCTTGGTCTTCTAGCATAATTATAGATGGGACATTTTTTAGGTTTTGCTTTATCAATATTCTTCTGGAAGTAAATAAACAAATATACACTAAAATGATTATAAGAACCTTACCTCATCTGAAATTGATGTCATTTCTTTTCCTTAGGAAAGGCTAACTTTGTCATACTTTTTTTCATGAAGCAATTAAAATAGTAATTCTATCTTGAATACTTTGCAACCAGGGATAGTGATTTTAAATCACAATGTAACTAGCACATCTTTAATCTGTAAAATAATGGGATTGTGTCCTGAGTTTTCTTATCTTATTTTCTGTGTTATAATAATGTAAAAGTTACATTAGAGTTAGAGAGTTAGAGATTCAGAAAATTTGAGACCAGTGATTTTAGGACTACTGAATACATCTAGCAAAAATAATAAAATAGGGATGTATGTATCCTCAAAAATCAGCTCCATTCTACTGCTCCTTTACCAGGAGAATTTTTTTGTCTGGCATTTTTTTCCCTAAAGGTTATAAAGCAAAGAATGAAACAAACAATTTGCAACCTGGGTGGACTATAATACTCTTAGTAGTAGTAGTAGTAGTTGTTGTTATTGTAGTTGCTGCTGTTTAAATTGTGCACTGAAAATCCACCAGAGTATAGAAAGGCAACTTTGTTTCTCTGGAATGACCATATGAGGATACCCAATGCTTCTGTAATGTGCATTGGGCTTTCAAAGAGTAAACAAAACTGGAAGGGAGCACTTAGTCACCTCATCTAATAAGAGTTCCCTCTGCCTCTCTATAAGATATGTTTATAGAAAGACAAATACTAACTAAATTTTGTTTTGGATTAGCATTCATCCTGCAGTGGATGCCTCAGGAGATGAAATCTCCGAATCTGGTTCCAGAGAATTTTGTATTGGAAATATTTCACATCTTTAAAAAATATATTGCTTGCCTTCTAATGACCCAGATTTGATCTTAAAATAGTTACAGTTGTGTCTTAAAGTTCAGCCTGATCCGAGGTCAAATTGTATGTTTCAGTGATTATCTAAGTCAGGGATGTCAAACTCGCGGTGCCACATTGTTGTCATGTGACATATTGTGACTTTTTTCCCCTTCGCTAAACCAGGGGTGGGCGTGGTCAGCGTGTGATGCATCTAGCCCATGGACCATCCGTTTGACACTCCGGGCTAAGTGAAAATAAGCTAACACTACTTTAGAATCTTTCTGCATATTAACAATCACATTTTTCTGAAAGTTTGAATGCATGCAAATTCAAAATAATGAAACAGTTACTATGAAGATACTTTCAACTTTGCACATGCTTGTAGTAAATATTTTGTAACACATCCCTTGGCAGAACTAACAGATTCCAAATGTTTCTTATACAATAGCTGATTAGTTTTGGATCCCCCCCCCCACTTTTCCTCATAGAATCTTTCTAGATCAACAATTTTTTTAGGTCACATTGAGCATATGAAATGTGAGAGGTCTCTTTGCAGAATTTCAATAATGTTCAGCACTGGGACCATAAAGGCCATTTCAAAGCCCTTACTTTTTTAATAAGTACTATTGGAAAAATAGTTGTTAGGAGGCTAAAATGTCACAATTTTAGAAAGGAAGTTATTATCTCGCCTTTATAGAAAAGTCAGAGGTCACATAAGACAGAAATGAGAAAAAGTTACACTTCTAGCTACAGAAATAAGATGTGATAATTAGAGAGAGATAGAGAGACAAAACAAGTTATAGCTTATTTGGAAAGTAAAACTTGAAAATTTTAGAATTGTTTGTTTGTTTTATGTTTGTTTTGTTTTATTAGATTTATATACTGCCCTCCTCCCGAAGGACTCAGGGCGGTGAACAGGCACAAAATAAAATACATAAATACAAAATTTACAAGCAGAAATAAAACCAGATTAAACAATTTAGCCCGAGACAAATTTAAAACATCCCAATAATTTAAAAACAGATTTAAAATTTTTGATTTAAAAGAAAAGGGGAAAAAGGTTAGGCCAGGCCAGTTTGCTGGAATAGGAAGGTCTTAAGAGTGTGGCAGAAAGTGCGCAGATCCGGGATCCTCTGTATCTCCGGGGAGAGCTCGTTCCAGATAGTTAGGCATTGTTTCTACCTGACTATAAAAGAATGCTTTGCCCCTTGCATGAGGACAGCGCCATTCCATGCTCTTGCCTTGTATGCTAAATAAAAAATAATAATTTGAACTCTAGATTATGGCATCTGGTGTTTGACATAAGTAAGGAACAAACCATTGGGAAGAAATTCTTCCAACAATGCCTATTGGATTATGTTGAGGTTTGTTTCAGACTGCTGTACTGCTGAAATATCCAAGCTTAGCTGACCTCCAAAAAAACCGTGCATCATCAGAAATGGCTAGTCCTTGAATGGGAAATCAACAGAAAATCCAGGGCTGAAGTCACACAACTGTGTCCATGTAATCTCCAGAAATTGAACTCAAGGTATTTTTTCATCTTTTTTCACAGGTAATTGTGAGGAGTTGGTAGTAGTAATAATATTATTTAAAAAAACTAAAGCTGATTCCTGAACTGCTTATACTTAGTGACAGAAAATCTAAATTGCTAAAACAACTAACCTACATTCCAAATTCAAAATGATTGCATTATTACAACTTTTGCAAAAGAATGAAAGAAACCAAGTCTTTTTTACTCTAGAAGATATATTTAAATTTTAATTATATTTACTTTAGGAATGTTCACACTTTTTAAATAAAAGCCTGTAAAGCCAGTAACAATATTTAAAATGTTAAAATAGAAAGCATAGAACGCCAGGTATGAATTTGTAACAGCTTGTTTCTAACAGCCATGAGTTGTACTCTTTTTGCAAATTGCCTCATCTTGAAGAACAATGTGCGGAAAAAGGAAGGCATATGTGAATGTATCTATTCAGAGATTATTCCCATTCTTTTCAGAACAGGTTGCCTTCAGATATATATATGAAGAATGAAATAATTTAAATTTGATTGCTATTGTTCTCCAAAATAGATCTCCTGGATGCCAACCAATGCCACACAGATTCTTGAAGATCTGTATATGAGGACTCAGATTGTTGGGGGCAATATGCTGACTCTGTAAACCTCTTAGAGAGGATTAGAAACAGAGGTGGGTTTCAGCAGGTTCTGACCAGTTCTGGAGAACCGGTAGTGGACATTTTGAGTAGTTCGGAGAACCAGTAGTAAAAATTCTGACTGGCTCCACCCCCATCTATTCTCTGCCTCCCAAGTCCTAGCTGATCGGGAGGAAATGGGGATTTTGCAGTAACCTTCCCCTGGAGTGGGGTGGGAATAGAGATTTTATAATATCCTTCCCCTGCCACGCCCACCAAGCCATGCCATGCCATGCCATGCCCACCAAGCCACACCCACAGAACTGGTAGTAAAAAATTTTGAAACCCACCACTGGTTAGAAAGCACTGTGCAGCAGTATATAAGTCTAATTGCTATTGCTATTTATTTCCTTCCTTTTGTACAAGAGTGGAAGGTGTCACAGTTAGTGCTCTGTCCCTCTGTTTTCCCAAGCCCAGTCCTGTGCTTGGAAGCATCAGGAGGTTTTATCAAAATGAAGAAACTCACACTGTGCTACAAGCTTGTCTTTTACATGTGTGCATACAATATTAGAAGTCAGGCACAAACTTGGGTCAAAATGTCATGATGCATATTTCATCATTTGCATTTCTGGAAGACACCCATGCCCTGTGGGGAAAGGGACTGTCCAAAATCATTCACTAAGATTCTGCGGCTAATCTTGGATAGAACCTGAGCTACTTAATACACCATATTAGCCAGTCACTTCACTGGCTTTCAACTTTTCATGAACAATTGCAACACCTATAATGTCATAATTGGTGGCAAAACATATGTGAAACTACATATCAATTATTGCCACAATTTCAAAAAGATCCCGTCAATTAACAAGTTCTTTTTACAAAAAAGGATTCATTGGAAGCACCAGAGTGTTTGAGGAGTCGTTCTCAGATACTTTTTGTTGCAATATTTTCAGGATCAGACTCAATAAAGATAATAGAAGTTAAAGCTTTAAATATATTTCTTTTTAATTATGATAGGCATTCTATATTCACTGAATATTCAAGGTAGAAGCAACGAGAATGGTGAGGGTGGCTCCTTATATATACAAGGGGTGGAGCTAGGAATGGGAGTGGTAAGTTATGAATACATTAAAGTCCAAAGAATAAGTTAACCTCTGATGTTCCATATATACATTATTTACACATTGGAGAATAAGGCATTTACATCTGACAAATCCCCCTCTAAATGCCGGTTCGTTACACAACACCAATTACATTCTGATTCAGGACAATATAATACATATAATTTAGAAGTTAAATATTTGTGTTGTTTAGAAGGTAAGGGTTTTGTTAATATGTCAGCTAATTGTTCAGAAGTATCGCAATGTATTGCTTTAATGAATCCGTCTTGAGACAGTTGTCTCACATGCTTAAACTTTATATCAATATGCCTGGACCTTTGTCCAATTGCATCGGATCTGGATATTTCAATGGCCGCTTTATTGTCTTCATGCATAATAAATGGTAAGGTGGGTTTCTTCCAAACATCAGTGATCAGATCATTGAACCATACAAGGTTATTTGCAGCTTTGGACAAACAAACATATTCCGCTTCTGTAGTAGAAGTGGCTACTAGTTCTTGTTTACCAGTATACCAGTAAACTGGACAATCATTCAATAGAAAAACATAACCAGAAGTACTCTTTCTGCATGATGTATCACCAGCCCAATCTGCATCAGCATAACAAGTAATTTTTGGTTCTCTGTCATTATTGGGTTCCAACATTAAACAAAAATCTAATGTACCCTTCAGATATCTTAGAATTCTTTTGACAGCTTCCCAATGATACAAGGTTGGTTTACTAACATATCTTGACAATAGATTGAGAGGTAATGCAATATCTGGCCTAGTCCAATTAGATATATAAAGGAGTGAACCTATAACTGATCTGTAAAATGTGTTGTCTTTAAACTCAGGGGAAGATTCATCAGTGTTTCTAAGAAAATCAGTTTGCATAGGGGTGTCACAGGTTTTAGCATTATTTAAGTTACATTTGTTTAGGAGTTCGATGATTTTATCTTTCTGTGTAAGTTTGAATCCCCTTTTAGTTTTGTTAATTTGCACACCAAGGTATTTATTCACTTTACCCAGAGATTTCAGTGAGAAGTGTTCATTTAACTTATTTACAAAGATTTCCCTGCTCTCTTTATGCTTTCCAATGTATAAAATATCGTCCACGTAAATTAATACAAATTCAATATGATCATTACTCTTTTTTACAAAGAAACAGTTATCAGCAGTGGTGGCGTTGAAATCCATGGTCTTAAGTACTTTTACCAAGCAATCGTACCATCTTTTGCCGGATTGCTTTAATCCGTACAGACTCTTATTTAATAACCAAATTTCGTTCTTATTAGTGTATTGACTGTGTGGTGCTCTTACATATATTTCCTTATCTAATTTTGCATGTAAGTATGCGGTCTGTATGTCATATTGGAATACGTCCAGATTGAGTGCAGATGCTACTACAAGGGCTGTTTTGACACTCTCTGTTCTCACTGTGGGTGAATATGTATCAGTATAGTCTTCTGGATATTTTTGTGCATAGCCTTGTGCAACTAGTCTAGCCTTGTATAAGGTATTGCCTCCTTCTAAGTTCTTAATTTTATAAATCCACCTGGTACCTATAATTGTTTTATCCTTAGGTGCGATCGCAGGTGTGAATACATTTAATCCTTGTAAACTTTCCATCTCTTTTTCCATAGCTAGTTCCCATTTTTCTCTTTCTTCATGTGGAAGTTTCAATACTTCTTCATATGTATTAGGTGTTATTTGTTCTCCATTCATATGCATTATGTAATCTTTGTATTTATTTGGTATTTGGTTTCTATTGTTTCTAATAGTTCTTTCAGGCTTGCTATGGTTATCATGCAAATATCTAGCTTCCTTTTTTGTTAATGTGTCTGTCTTTATTTTATGCTGACTATTAGTCCAAGTTTTGGTTTTGTTCTTACTTTTGTTAATATTTTGATTTTCTGTTGTTCCTTCCTCGCAAGATATCGTATCTTTACATTTATTAGGAAATATTTCATTAAGGTGCAATTTTGACCAATTGGCCTGTTCATGGAACACAGCTGTTCTGGATACTATAAATTTGTTATTACTATCAATAAATCTGTACCCTTTGGTTCCAGTTTCGTATCCCATGAATCTTAATCTCCTGGATACGTTTTCTCCCTTTCTCCTCAATTGTTTAGGTATGTGTACGTCTGCAGTGACTCCAAATATGTGCATGTGTGATAATTTGGGTTTTCTATTGTACATCACCTCATATGGTGTCTTATTCACAATACTGGACCAGGTTCTATTTTGAGTGTAATTCGAATAATGTAATGCCTCTGACCAAAATTGTTTGCCTAAACCAGCATCCTCTAATGTGCACCTAATCATGGTTTGTAGTGTGGAATTTTTCCTCTCTGCAACTCCATTTTGAAATGCAGAAAAAGGATTGGACGTGAAATGTAACATTCCTCTATCCTTTAACCATTGGGAGAATTCTTTAGACATGAACTCACATCCCCTATCTGTCATAATTTGCTTTATTCTGATATTATGTTGTGTTTCTATACGTTTGTAGAATTCCTTAAATTTCTGAAATGTTTCATCCTTGTGCTTTAATGTGTAAACAAAACCATATCGGCTGTAGTCATCCACTATTGTTAGGAAGTAACGTTTTCTATAGGTAATTGAGGGACTTAATGGACCAACTAAGTCCATATGTACCAAATCAAAAATATTGTTAGTTGATCTGTTAGATTTTTTTGGTCTGGGACTGGTTTTTAGTTTGGTGGACTTACATACTGAGCATTCCAAATAATTTTCACAATTTTTTATTTTGACACCTTCTGCGTGTTCAGTCATTTTTTGTACTACAGGAAAGCTTGCATGTCCTAACTTCCTGTGTAAGATGTGAGCACACTCATCATGAATTGGTTTACCTATTTTTGGTTTCTTTTCCTTGTATGTATTTTTGTGATCATGAGTTATTCTACACTCATCATTGTCACTGTTACTGACATTTTCATCATCTGCTTCAATACAATCTTCCATATTTGAATCAATGTTATGTAAACATCTTTCTTTAGTTATCAGATAGGGTAGACCTCCTTTTATCATTACAGTACCTACATTTGTTTTGTTCTTTTCTATAGTTGCTTTCCCCTTTGAGAAAACTATATTGATATCAGATTCTCTGCTTAATTTTATGGCACTTAGTATGTTGTGAGGTATTTCTGGGATTAATAATACCCCCTCTATTTTCCCTAGACCAGGCAAGGTCACATTTCCTTTGCCTAGTACTTGAACCTTTTCTTGATTAGCTACCTTTATCACAAACTTATCTTCTATAAATGAAGATAATATACTTTTGTTGTTGGTGGTGTGATTTGTTGCACCAGAATCAATAAGCCAATTGTTATTCTCATCCTGCTGTGTTCTGGTGCTGTCTTGTTTATTTAGCCCATTCAGTGACCCAGATTTCCTCTCTTTTGAATTTTCTCTACCCCCTCTACCTTCTTTGTAATTTGGTGGGCTTCTATATTTGTGTCTATCTGTGGAAGATTGTCTGTAATTATATTTGCTCCTATATTCTGGTCTATGTCTCTCTCTTGAGACTTTGGGGCAGTCTCTTCTACTATGTTCCCTGGATCCACAATTGTAGCATCTAAAGGCCTCATTATGTTTATCTTGAAAGACTACTTTCCTAAAAGGTTTGTGGTCTGTTTGGTTACTGGATCGATTTTTTCTTGAATTGTCTTCTGCTATCAATTTGTTAGATAGACTTTCTATGGATAAATATCCCAAATTAATGGTATCTAAGTGTGACATAAAGCTATCCCATGATGGATCAAGTGAATTGATAATAACACTTTTCATTGTTTGATCTGAAATCACTTCCCCCCTCAATTGTAGCTCAGCTCTTATTTTGTTTAGATTTATCAAATGCTCACTTATAGAAACCCCTGGTTTTACTCTAGAGGAAAAGAAATCCTTAGACATTCTTGTGGTTGTAGCTACGCTATCGCTGTGAAATAGATTAAACATGCATTGAATTATTTCTGATACAGTTAGGTTTGGTTTGATGCTATGATACATTGCAGGAGACACGCTAGATATTATTATGAAAAATGCTCTATGATGTAAACAATCTATTTTTAAAGTCCAAGGTCTTCTTGGAGGGCTAGTTATAAAGAATAGTAAATTTTCTTTCATGAAAATAACCTGAAGCTGTTGATACCACTCTTGTAAATTAATGCCATCAATTCTAAGTTTTGGGAAGTCACTGGGTAAGTTACCTACATTATTCTGTCCATTACTTACAACCTGGGGCAGTCCGTGATCTCTCAAGTGCAGGAAATTACAGAACGGCATTGGGATGCTTGCAATGAGTCTGCGCGGTTCTCTGGCCAGTTCAAGTCCTTCTGGGTCGTCTACGTAGTTTCGCACATGCGCGTTGTTCATTTCTTCTTTGGTGGCGTCGTGGAAGGTTCTCTCCCTTTCAGCTCTCTCGATCCGCTCCTCCTCAGATGAGTCGGTCTCTGGCTCGGTTTTTGGGGTTCTGGTGGTGGTGACGGTTCTTTTCTTCTTTTTGTGTGCGTTGGTATTCGATTTTGTCTGTGGTGTAGGGCGAAATCGGCATGGCTCTCTGGGCTCGGGCGTCGTCGCTTTCGAAGTCAGGATGGGAGCGTGCAGGTCTTGAGTCGCCGGTTTGATTTCTTGCTTCTTCGTAGATGTCTTGGTAATTTTCAGTCTTGGCCCAAAAGCAGCAAAAAGCGTTTTCATTGCTGATTTTACTTGAGATTTTGTTAAATCGTCTTCACTTTCTGATTTTGGATCATCTGAAGAGTTTGAGACTTCTTTCTCACTTTCTTCGTCTGATAGTGTTTTTCGCGCCAGAAATTTTGAACTGAGCGTTTTGATTGGCTCTGCTCCATTCTCTTTTGAAGTTCGTTGAAACCAAGATGGCTGCCATTCAAAATTTCGCGCGGGATCACATCTTTTCTTTTTAACAACTATTTTCTCAGTAGTCATCTCACTTACGATTTTTTGATCTTTGGGTTTTTCTTTAATGACGTTTTTCTCTCTCGCTGCTCCGCTGTTCTTCAGCATCTCCTGGAGGTCCGCGATGAGACTTTCATCATTCTTTTGGCTTTTTAGTATCTTTAATATCTCTGACCTGAGTTCGTTATTTTCTATTTCGATTTCTTTCTGGTCATTATTTTCACTCATTAGTTCTTCTTCTTCAGTGGTGTATTCTTCGGATTCTCTCGAAATCGCATTGGTGGATTCGTTGATCATCTCTTGATCAGTTTCTATTTCTTTGCTGTAGGCCCTGGTGTTGGGCCTATCTTTCTTGGACATTTTTAATTACTTATTGAGTCAATTAACCATCCTCTGCTACCAGCTTGTTGCAATATTTTCAGGATCAGACTCAATAAAGATAATAGGAGTTAGAGCTTTAAATATATTTCTTTTTAATTATGATAGGCATTCTATATCACTGAATATTCAAGGTAGAAGCGACGAGAATGGTGAGGGTGGCTCCTTATATATACAAGGGGTGGAGCTAGGAATGGGAGTGGTAAGTTATGAATACATTAAAGTCCAAAGAATAAGTTAACCTCTGATGTTCCATATATACATTATTTACACATTGGAGAATAAGGCATTTACATCTGACACTTTTGTTATGGAGTGAACAATTATTTACAATAATACCGTACCTCAAACAGTGGGTCTTTATTAAAATTATGTATCAAACTAAAAGCATCAAACTCTCTCTTCGGCATTAATTAAACCTATTTGTTTTCTCTTAAGTGCTTCTGTTGTCATGCTTCTATTTAGTAAAGATGTTTACATTCTTGCTTTTTAAAATCATGTCTACTTTCTTTTCCCCTTACCTGAGGTATATCTTCTTCTTAAAACTGTAGTGAGTGAACAACTGTCTGTCACAAACAGAAAGTCCTGTCAGACTACATTGGCTGCCAACCTAAGAGACAGGAGCAAGGAGAGCCATTTGCTTCTGAAGCTGAAGAGGGATTAGAAGCAGACAGGATGGCTAACGGGAAGAAGGAAGAAAGGAGCCTGTTTGGGATGAGGTAATTGCAACAGGTGTGTGAGAGGTGAGGCATAATAACTGGTAAGAGGTTGGGGAATTCTGGAAGTTGAAGTCCATGCATCCTAAAGTTGCTGAGGTTGAGAATCTCTGTCCTTGACCCTCCTGTCAGTTGAATTCCTGAGGGAGGGGCATAGAAGGGAGAGGGTCCAACTGTCTCCAACTGTCTCCAACTGTCTCCAACTGTCAACTGGGAGTTGAGGGAAGCCCTTCATGCAACCAATTTTCCAGTCCTTTAAGGACTGATTTAAGTAAAAGTCACTTCAGCTTTAAAAACTAGAGCTTGTAACAGGAAAAACTCCTTGGAGCAGTAAACTTACCAGGAGCCAAATGGCTAATTTGATTTGTGGAAGAACCTCTGAAAATTACCATATAGATTCCCAAACAAATTAGATTTTAACAAATACTAATAAAGCCAGATGTGAATATCTTTGGTCTGGTGAAATCATTTCTTAAGATTTAAAACTTGTGCTTGATCCAACTTTATTCAGTTTTTAAAGAAATGCAAGGCAGAGAATTGCCAATTTACTTTTATTATAGATGTTTTTAAACATTACACCTAAAATTAAGCTTATCTGTATCCTCTCCACATAGGGAAAGATTGAAGGCAAACAAGGTTCAGGCAGAAGAACAAGAACATGGCTTCAAAACCTAAGGGATTGGTTTGGACAAAACTCAGCAGCGCTTTTTCATCTGGCTTTGACAAAAATAGAATTGCCAACATGATCGTCAACGTCCGATGACGGATATAGCACAAGAAGAAGAAGAGTACCTCTCCACATTACACTAACTCCTGCTATGGAAAAATCCCAAATTGGGATTTGATAAGGGAAAAGATTTTATAATGGTAACTATATTAGAAGGTATATAAAATATATCTTCTAAATAAGGATATATTTCTCATTATTTCTTAAGGAATATCCAGGTTACCTACCAGATGTTCTTAGAAACTAATTTCTTCTGGGGAAGCAATTTTTTACAGGTATATTCTCTGAAAAGGAGAGCAATTATTCCAGAGCACATTTAAAAAAGGACTTAAGTAATTGTAGAAAATGAAGAAGGCAATTCTATCTAATAGTGCCCCAAAGATGCATTCAGGTCTCTCACAAGCCTAAAGCACTGAAGTGCAAAAAGTTAACAACTATGATATTTTAAGTTTGTCTAGTGATAGGATGGCAAAATTGAATTAGTTGAATTAGACTAATCAAAAACTTGAAATTAAGAATTAAAACCATGTCTTTTATTAGTTAAACAGCTTGGGTTCTGGTTGAGTGAATCTGGCTTCCCCATTGACTATGCTTGTCAGCATAGTCACAAAAGGTGATCACATGACCCCCAGATCACATGACCCCAGGATACTGCAACCATTATTTATTTATTTATTTATTATCAGATTTATATACCGCCCTTCTCCTGGAGGACTCAGGGCAGTGCACAGCCAAAGTAAAAACATAAATACAAACAGTTAAAAAGATATATATGTGTTTGGCCCCATAATTAAAAAACAATAACAAACCTATTAAAAACATTTTAAAAAGTGTTAAGCCAGCCCTGCTTGCTGAAAAAGAAAGGTCTTCAGGGCACGGCGGAAGGCACCGAGGTCTTGGATTCTTCATATCTCTGGAGGCAGTTGATTCCAGAGGGCAGGTGCCCCCACAGAAAAGCCCCCCCCCCCAGGGGTCTACATTGCTTGGCCGATGGCACCCTGAGAGGCCCTCTCTGTGGGAGCGCACAGGTCAGTGGGAGGCCATTGGTAGCAGCAAGCGGTCTCAAAGATATCCAGGTCCTATGCCATGGAGCGCTTTAAAGATGATAACCAACACTTTGAAGCGCACCCGGAAGACCACTGGGAGCCAGTGCACTCATGCAGGAGAAATGTTATGTGGGAGTGCCATGCAGCTCCCGTAACTACCCGCGCAGCCGCATTCTGGACCAGTTGGAGCCTTCGGATGCTCTTCAAGGGGAGCCCCATGTAGAGAGCATTGCCATAGTCCAGGCGAGAGGTGACGAGGGCATGAGTGACTGTGCACAAGGAATCCCGATCTAGGAAGGGCCGCAACTGGCAGATCAGGCGAACCTGATAAAAAGTCCCCCTGGCTATAGCCGTCAGATGTTCCTCCAAGGACAGCTGCGTATCCAGGAGGACGCCCAAATTGCAAGCCCTCTCTGTGGGGGCCAAAGACTCGCCCCCAATAGTCAGTGATGGTGTCAACTGACTATATCGGGATGCTGGAAACCACAGCCACTCAGTCTTGGATATGAATATGAATCAGTTACAATTTTGATTACATGACCATGGAAAAGATAAAACGGTTGTAAGTGTGAAAAATGCTCATAACGCACTTTTTTTCAGTGCTGTTGTAACTTTGGAATTGTTGTAAGTCAAGCTGTGGTGGTACAGTGGTTAGAATGCAGTATTGCAGGCTAATTCTGCTGACTGCTGGCAGTTTGGCAGATCAAGTCTCACTGGCTCAAAGTTGACTCAGCCTTCCATTCTTCCAAAGTTGATAAAATGAGGACCCAGATTGTTGGGAGAAATATGCTGATGTAAACCGCTTAGAGGGGGCTGAAAAGCACTTATAAGTCTAAGTGCTATTGCTATTGCTATTGCTTTTTCTATTGCTATTGTTATTGCTGTATGGAAATTCCACAAGCTCAAGGCCCTCTTATTCTTCTGACCTTCTGCTAAACCTTCTGCTAAATCTCCCATCTGGACTTGGGAGAGCCTATGCCCTATACTATGCAGATGTTCTTGTACAAACTGCCAACTATTTGGTGTTGCTGTTCAGTGGATGCTATTCCTGCATGGATCTTATACCTTGCCACCATGTGTTGGACTGTCTCTGAGACCTCTCTGCAGCTCGATCACTGTCTCAGCAATCTTTCCTGGAAACAGACAATTGGAGGATGATCAGTAATCATCTAAAATATTGAGATTCAAGGGTGATCTTTTGAGGAGGGAATGAACGTTCAGGCATCAGTCCCTTTCAAAAAGTCTTGCATAACCCCATGGAACCAACTAAAGTTTTCATGACTAGGGGGTGCTGAGTCCAATAGGCAGGTGGTCAAGGTGAGACTGCAGAGACCCTTGTCCACTTCCTCAAGAGTAACTGAATCAAACTCAGATCACTTTCAGAATTCTCACCTTTTGTTGTGCTAGCCTCATTGTGGAACTCTGAGTCTCCCAGAGTTTCTTAGGAAAAGGGAATTACTGTTTAAAAAATTCCATTCTATCTTATATCATAGAAGAAATTAGATTTCATGGCAGTTTTGACTGTATTATTTATTTCAAAGTACATTACCCAAGAGTTTGTTTGGGCCTTTTAAAAACCTTGGATATGATTCCTGAAATCTCCAGTCGTAATAATCAATTTATCATTGGCTATTAATACAGGTTTTCAATGTTGTTATGTTAACTCATTGATTGAATAAAATATTACTGAAATGAAATGTAACATTTCTCCTGGCCCACTTATTATTTTTCAAAGGGAAGGCCTTAATGCACTATTTTAGGCTTAAGTGTAGTCCAGTAAAAGTTATTTGCCTCTGGGCTTTGATCTTTAGAGATTTGTGGGGAAAATAAGCATTTTAAAAACAGATATTTATATGCATAACTTATTTATTCACAACTTTTTACTCACAAGCATGCTTATTCCACAATTCAAGGAAATAAAAGCCAGTGTACTACAGGTAGTCCTCGACCTATTACTACAATTTTGTTGCTAAGTGAAAGATTTATTAATTGAATTTTGTTCCATTTTACAATCTCTTCTGACACAGTTTTTAAATGAATCACTGCAGTTGTTAAGTTATTAACATGGTTGTTAAGTGACTCTAGCTTCCCCATTAACTTTGCTTGTAAGGAGGTCACAAAATGTGATCACATGGCCCCAGCCATCATAAACATGAATCAGTTGCCAAGCATCCGAATTTTGATCACATGACTATGGGGAATAGTCTGTAGAGATTCTCAGTCATCCAGGTCATGGTTGTCCCAAGGGTGCTTTTTCAGGAGGCAACTGGACTTTCTTGTTTTTTCTTTGAAGATGTTTTGCTTCTCATCCAAGCAGCTTCTTCAGCTGTGACAGGATAGTGGGGAATGGAAGGATTTATATTCCTTGCAGACAGCTGGTCAAGACACAATATAATTTTTATATGCTGGTTTTTATATTTTAACAATTTATTATATACTCTCCAGAGTCCCTCTCCAAGGAAGATGGGCAGTTCAAAAATGTGAAAAATAAATAAATTATTTAAGATACCTCACTGAAAAGATCCAGACTGAGGTCCACCATTCGGCATCCAAGCTTCCTTGGATGCCGAATGGGACAACTCAATGCTGCCATCTCAGAACAGTTCAATTCAACACAACCAATTCACCATAGGATAACTCACTACGGGCACCCAGAAGGAGAGCCAGGTGGGTGGACAGGTGAGCGAGCAGATGGGCAGAGCACAGAGCAGCAGAAGCCAGGGGATTTCCATTTTCTCTCCCTCTCTCTCGCTCACACACACACACCACTATTACTGCTGGTGCCACAGGCTGTTCAATAGTGGCGGTGTTTCGGCCATTCGGGGGGGGTGACAGTGGGCAGGGGGTTGGCAGGGAGATGGCAGAGGCTGAGCATATCTCATTTTCGAACCTCCAACTGCCACCCCGGGTGGTGGAAATGTTTGGGCCGTTCAGGGGTGGCAGCAATGGTGATGTTTGGGCCATCCCGATTTTCCTACCACTGCCTCCCGTGAATGGCACAAACACTACTGCCATCGCCAAATGGCCCATGATAGCAGTAGCAACAGCTGAGTATGTGTGAAAATGGGAATCACCAGCCACCACCACTCTGCCCACCCGCTCATTCTCCCACCCATCTGGCTTTCCCTCTGGCTGCCCACTACGAGTTGTGCCCATAGCGAGTTGGCTATGTTGAGTTGTCCTGCAACAACTTGGCTGCAGTGAATTGGTAGATGTGACTTGGCAGTGGCAAGCTGACACCACTGAGCTGGCCGTGCCGAGTTTTCCTAGACTTCACTGGATGACTTCACTGTTGTCAGATCATATGAGAGGACGAAAAACTAGGTACAATGGCTTGAGCTCCTAAAGGAAATACATCTAACCAATAAATAAAAACACCTCAAAATGTATTCCTTAAAAACATTTAATGCACAGAATAAAAAAATATTAGTGCCAATAAAATACACTAAAATATGTAAGATAAAAACATTTTCACTTAGAATCAAAAAGTGAATATCTTGTCATCAGATGAATGATTGTAGATAAGATGTTTCATACTGAATATTCCTCTCCATAATAGATCATTCTCAAATCAGAAGCCTGTGAATAAAAGAGCCATGATGAAAAAGTTAAATACTGAGTGCTAAGAAAGCAAACAAGCAATTGCATAAGTACTGTGGCCACAAACTATTTTGGGCTTTAAAGATCTTTTTGTTTGTGGTTTAAGTCACAGGATTTAAAAATACACCACAGCATTAATAATGCACAAGTACCTATATATAGTACAACACAGGGGTGAAATCCAGCAGGTTCTAACAGGTTCTGGAGAACCGGTAGCAGAAATTTTGAGCAGTTTGGAGAACCGGCAAAGACCACCTCTGGCTGGCCCCAGAGTGGGATGGGAATGGGGATTTTGCATTATTCTTCCCCTGCCATGCCCACCAAGCCACGTCCACAGAACCGGTAGGGGAAAATTTTGGATTTCACTCCGGTACAACAATATGTAAAAGTAATGTTATAGAATTATTATTTCATTGAAGGGACCAAATGGTTTCTATAAACTAAGACTATAAATAGAATTTCACTCCCGCCTTCAAAACACCTGAGTACTGATCATTTAATAAGAATATCTCGATCTCCTTATCATGAGTGGAGTT